GTTTGTTTGAAAGAGAAAAGAACAGGCTTTGAAGTAAGCCTAAAAGCGTTTAACTAGAAATAGTATTTCGAAAGTTATTAAGCACAAAAGATGAATTGCGTTTATTTTGATACACCCTGTAGAAATCATCAGGTGGTGAGTAATTTCGAAAATGTAGGTTGCTTTTATGCTATCGAAAGAATGCGTGGAATGCGTGTAGGCGAAACAATGCTTAGGCGAAACAATTTAGGCGAAACAGTGCTTAGGCGAAACAATGCTTGGGTCGTCTCTATATAGGCCGATGCTTTCTTTGCCAAATTTTCGTTTGACATCGTTGATTTTTACCCATCCATTTCTGAAAAATTTTTGGACCAAGCATTATCTTGGGCTTCTAATTTAACTGCCATTTTGGATAATGATATTTCGATCATAAAACACGCCAGAAAATCTCTGCTTTTCAACACCAGAAAACTATGGACAAAAAAAGATAGTGAAGGTTTGTTTGACGTTACCATGGGCAGCCATGATGGCGCCGAAATATGTGAATTATAGTTGGCCTTTTCATCCTAAATCGAACCTAAGTCAGAAGTTTGGCAAAGAAAGCATCGGCCTATATAGAGACGACGGTTTGGCTCTTATAAAAAGTAAATCGGTACGTTTAGCAGACAAAACAAGGAAGGAACTCCACAACATTTTCGGGCAGTGTTTGACCTAAAAATCACCGCCGAATCAAATTTACGCATAGTAAACTTTTTAGATGTAACTTTCGATCTTAACAACGGAAAATATAGGCCCTATAGGAAGCCCAATCACGATCCGCTATACATAAATAGGTACTCTAACCATCCACCTAGCATTATAAGGCAGCTTCCTATATCAATTAACAAGCGCATTGCCCTGCTTTGATCAGATGAGCCGACATTTAAGGAATCTGCACCTGCATATACCAAAACGCACTTGCCCATAGCAACTTCGATCATGATCTTAACTACACTCAACACGCACAACATCAAGCACGCAGAAATAGGCAACGTAACATTTGGTTCAACCCACCATTTAGCATGAATGTCAGCACTAATATAGGGCGTAATTTCCTTAGTCTTATTGACAAGCATTTCCATCGTACTACAAGCTTCATAAGATCTTTAACAGAAATAAGTGAAAGTAATTTATAGCTGCATGAGCAATGTTAAGTCTATATAATCACTAAGCACGTACAATGCACATATAGCTAGGAAGAAAAAGGCACAGGACAAGGACACTGTCAATTGCAGTTGAAAAACGCAATATGCCCACTTCAGAAACAATGCATGACTAAGGACATAGTACACAAAGCAACAGTCACAACAAGCAACCCTAACACGATCATGAATTATATTGGCATGACATCATCTACATTTAAAGAGCGTTTGGCTAACCATAACTATACTTTCGAGCATAAAGAACACTCAAACAAAACTGAACTTTCGAAATATATTTGAACATTGAAAGATAACAAGAAAGATTTTAATATTAATTGGCAAATTTTGAAACACGCTATTTCCTATACGGGAGGATCAAAGCGATGTAATTTATGTTTAGAGGAAGAATTTTGTATTTTGAAAGAAAACCAAAACTGTTTACTCAATAAAAGAATGGAAATTATATCTACGTGCAGACATAGGAAGAAATTTCGCGTAAACAACGCAAACAATACATAGTAATCCACACACTCCCACAATTCGATTAGGTATTTCGAATCCGCGTAAACAACGAAAACAATAGATGGAATGCATGCTTTGTTTCACCCACCCACCCCCACGTTACGCCAAAACACATATAAGCAGCCCTATTTTCGAAACTTGTCATACCGCCTGATGATTTTTTACTGATGAAACAGACTGTTGCGGAATTTTGAGGTAAGCGAAATTCTACATTTGCTATATATATATATATATATATATATATATATATATATATATATATATATATATATATATATATATATATATATATATATATATATATATATGATAGTTTTGGAGTTGAAGCTGGTCTAAAATTCTTTTTAAAATACTAGAATATGTACAATAAAAAGTCTAAAAAAGTTCTAAATTTTCGGTTGCTAACTGCAACTTTATTTAATTATATATATATATATATATATATAATTAATTAAAGTTCTCCGGATTGAAATATACTTTTGTTTTATATATATATATATATATATATATATAAGCTTTGATATTAGGTTTGGCAATGCCAAACGAAGTCTCCTCGAGGGCGAAGGATCCAAATAGGATTCACAGTAAGTACTGTCGTATATATATATAAAAATCAATTTAAAAATCAGAGACTATGCAACTTCGACCATCAATTTATTAAAAAAAACTAAAACATACTAAAATAAAAGCTTAAAAGTTAAAAACGTTTCGGCAGTTCTGCCTTCATCAGTTTATATTACAATTTAACAATGTCTATAGCTTTTATAGCATTGGCAGTATCAAAATTACCATAATTATTATGTAGTAAACAAATTAATAAGGATCAATAGTAGGATCAAAATTACCATTATATGGCTTGCTAGTTATAATTATAATAATTATTCCAACTTATAATGGATCCTATTTTTTGATCGAAGTTCAGATCTCTTATTGAGGCCATAAGGCTGCTTATCAAACTTAGATGGTGCTAAAATGTCCTTAAGGTTTTTTGGCCTTCTGTAGGCAGTTATTATAGACTTGTCCGGAAAAATTTCTTTCCACTCAGGTGTGAAGATCAAGTGCTTATGCTTACTTATAATTTGTGAGATGTTAGGAGCCCTAGGATTAAATTCTGTCACAAAGGGATAAACCTTCTTTTTAGGTTTAACTTTAGCATGCAACAAATCTTTCCTATTCACCTTTAAAGCTTTATTAAATTCATTATCAAGTAATGATTTTGGATATTCTTGACGAACTAAATATCTTTTGTATTCCTCATACCTCTTGCTTAAATCACTATTGTTCGAACAATTTCGCTTAATTCTTAAGGCTACTCCGTACGGGATAGTATTCTTACATTGTATAGGATGTGCACTTGAGTATGGCAAATATAAATGACTAACTGTAGGTTTTGCATAAACATCAGTGGAAATAAAGCCATTCTCCAAGCGTAAGGTGAGGTCCAACACATTTAACTCAGTTTCCGAATAAACTAACTCAAATTTAATGGTAGGATACAGAGAGTTGATAAAATCAGTAAATTCTAGAAGCTTGGGCAAACCTTGCTTCCAGACATCTATAATATCATCTCTGTAGCGCCACCAAAGCTCTGGCTTTATATTTCCACTAGTTTTGGCTAATCTATCTATTTCCCCCATAGCTATATCCGCATAACTACATGCATTCTTAGGACCCATAGCTATACCATGTTTCTGTAGAAAATTCATTTCCCTTGCCATACTCAAGTGCACATCCTATACAATGTAAGAATACTATCCCGTACGGAGTAGCCTTAAGAATTAAGCGAAATTGTTCGAACAATAGTGATTTAAGCAAGAGGTATGAGGAATACAAAAGATATTTAGTTCGTCAAGAATATCCAAAATCATTAGTTGATAACGAATTTAATAAAGCTTTAAAGGTGAATAGGAAAGATTTGTTGCATGCTAAAGTTAAACCTAAAAAGGAGGTTTATCCCTTTGTGACAGAATTTAATCCTAGGGCTCCTAACATCTCACAAATTATAAGTAAGCATAAGCACTTGATCTCCACACCTGAGTGGAAAGAAATTTTTCCGGACAAGTCTATAATAACTGCCTACAGAAGGCCAAAAAATCTTAAGGACATTTTAGCACCATCTAAGTTTGATAAGCAGCATGTGTTGGCGGAAAATCAGAGGCCAGGTTGTTTCAAGTGTAAGCGAAAATGTAATTTATGTAATAATTTCTTGAAGGAGACTGACTGTTTTAAGAGTTTTAGTACCGGTCGGTCATACAAAATCAAACAAGAAATGAATTGTGGTTCCCCTAACATAGTTTATTTGATTTCCTGCAAAAAATGCAATGTTCAGTATGTTGGATCTACATCTACTAAATTTAAAGTTCGTTTTCGTAACCACAAGTCAACTATGCTTACGGATAAGAAAGTTTGTGAGATGGCCGTTCATTTTAATGAAAATAAACACGAATTTAAGGATTTCGAATTTGTAGCCATTGAAAAAGTTGACTTAGTGAATGGCGAAAATGTCAATAACCCTTTATTGACCAGAGAAGCATATTGGATGGCACAGCTGTGCATAATTAGCCCTTATGGCCTCAATAAAAGATCTGAACTTCGATCAAAAAATAGGATCCATTACAAGTTGTAATAATTATTATAATTATAACTAGCAAGCCATATTATGGTAATTTTGATCCTACTATTGATCCTCATTAATTTGTTTACTACATAATATGGTAATTTTGATCCTGCCAATGCTATAAAAGCTAGACATTCTTAAATTGTAATATAAAGTGATGAAGGCAGAACTGCCGAAACGTTTTTAACTTTTAAGCTTTTATTTTAGTATGTTTTAGTTTTTTTAATAAATTGATGGTTGAATTTGCATAGTCTCTGATTTTTAAAATTTTATTTGATTTTTTTTATATATATATATATATATATATATATATATATATATATATATATATATATATATATATATATATATATATATATATAT